TTGCGGGGAGGTGTGGGAGGAAGAGAGCCACGGCAAGCAAGCAGGCAGGCAGGCAGGCCGGCTGTCATGGCATTTCATTTCCTTTCCTGCTCCTCGGGGTGGGGTGCATCCGTCAGGTGAGAACCGAGCTTTTTTTTTTCTCTCCTCTCGTCCAGCCGTCGAGCGGGCTACGAATACGAGCCCGCTGACAGTCCAGGCTGACGGAAGAAAAGGGAACCATGAAATAAAAAGGAGCTATCGCAATCGAGTCGAGTCTAGACGACGTCGCTTCTCCACACGCGGGAGCAAGCGAGGTCGCCTGGATAGACTGGATGGACCCCTAGGCTGGCCTGGGCTGGATTGGCCACGTGAAAGGCGTGCGCTGCTTAATATACAGATATTGCAGAATCGACGCCTCGGCGCGATGGGCTCTGAATGTGAGAGGAGATGGTGCAAGGAACGGGAGCCTCACTTCATCGACGTAGCAATGATTGAGCAAGCCGGTGGTACTGCCGAGTGTACGTCTTGGCCCTCTTTTGACATAGGACCCTGGAGTTGGTTCTTGATGATCGAAATGGGCAGCGATGGCCAGTCACCCATCGCCATGTCAAGGGCACTAGCCATCCCGATGTCGCTTCGCACCCAGCAACTCGTCAAGTTTTGGTCGGCACTGGACACCCTGACTGCATTGTCAATGATGGTCACCGCTCATCCTTGACAGCAGGACGTAAATGCAAACCCAAGGTCCACAACGTGACATAGAGCAGTCGTCTCCATGCACGGCTCAACCAAGAATCTCTAACTACCTTCTTTGCACGTTGCCACGGGCCGTTTCGTCTTCGATGACCATTTCGAACCATTTACAGATGCCTCTGCTTTCTTGAAAAAAAAAAGAAAAAAAAAAGACAGCAACATCGCATTGTGAAGACAGGAGAAAGGCAAAGAGTACTCGCATCGGTGATGGTTAGACTATACTGCTGCCAGCCCTGTCACAAAGATCGTGATCGAGTCATGTCATTCTACTTCAGGACACAGCTGTGGCGCATGTTGTCGAGAAGCATGGAGGGTTGGTGACCCATGGTATCTGAGGGGAATCTGGACCGATGTAACGGAAATTAGCTCATGCTAGGCGGAAGAAAGAAAACTACTTCTGGGGTAGGGTGCCTTGGGAAGTCTTACTTGTGGAGGTCCCTTGCGTTGATGTGGCTTGCAGCTCAACAACAGCGAGCTCTTGACTGGCCACTTAGGTCGGCATGACAGATGTAGGCTGGTCACATTGGCTGTCGGCAAGGTTATTCTGGGGGCAGGGGTCTGCGGATGACGAGCCACGAGTGGCAAGTTGAAGCCCGCCTGCGCGTGGCACCGCTTCGGCGGCTAGCATCTCCGGGCCCAAAATGAAGGAGGAGAAAAAACGGGCACGTCTGATGCCTGACGTGGCCATGCTCGTGAGTAGTTATGCAAGTACATGTATCGAAACGAGGGTCACACTGCGCGTTTCTTCGGGTCCTTTTATAGCCTCGTTGTCTTGAAAATCGTCGAGTTGTATGGCATTGTCCCTGTCTGGTTGAGGCGTCTCTCAGATGGGTCTGGCCGAATCAGGGTGTACGCAAGAAAGCAACCACCCCCGTCTAGACGGTGGTCCGATTGCCGGACGTCAGATCGGCTGGTAGTACTCCGTTGAGTCTAGACTTGCAGCAGTCCCCACAACAATACACGATGTTGGTATGGAAGACTTGCCCGACGACTGTCATCGCCAATCGCCACGGTTGCGCTGTCAGATCGTTCTACACGCATATGAGCAAGAACGAAGGTGCTTTTTGGTGTCTCTGAAACGTGTCTCAGACGGCTAATGCGGTTGAACTTGGACAGCGACTGGCAGAAGTCATAGGGCCGTCGAAGCCTCCGAATGAACCAGGAACTCTAGGGAAGAAACTGTTTTTGGCTGTTGGATAGCGTCCGAGAGTTGTATGTGAAAGAGAAGTAGAGACGATTCAACAGCCTCTGTTTACCGCGCAGTGCGCGAAATAAAGCTCGAGACCCTTGCCAATGCGTCTTGAATCCTTGATGTAAATCTGGATGGCAGACTTGGGGTAAATATGCGGGCTTGACATGGTATGGACCACGCCAATACCGAGCAGCTGGACGGGATTGATGTATACAATATACAGCTCTGCAATTCTGCAGCTGTACCGAAGCGCTAGGAGGGCATGTCAACAAGAGCCAGATTGCTCAACGCAACGTGGCTTCTGCGCAACGACAATTGTACAGCATAGACGAGATGCGGAAGCGAGAAGTAGCCGGTTGCCGAGTAAGCGGAGGCAGGAGACAGGGGACAAAGTCTGTCTGCGCTTCGCTTATCCAAATTCCACATTGTCAGACCACGGGTGCCAAAGAAACATCTGCGGGCGTCATACAAAGAGCACCTTGGAGAGACTTTTCTGGCCGAGCCATATCTGTCATGCGTGAAAACGACGCCATCCGCAGCGAAGAACCCGGGTCGACATGGCTTCTACACTCTTCTCATCCTGAAGCTGACCAAAAGATGCGGTGATTGTGGCATACTGTGTGAGGGCTATTCGGCAGGGGGAATTTATCCTAAATACCTACCTTCGGATGCATTGGGAGGCCAACACACCACACCCACAAAATCAGTACATACCGTTGACCCTAACGCACCTAGACACCAGCCAATAGCTGTGTCCTGCTTCAATTTGTTTGGAAAGTTCTGCTGGGCATATCGAGGCTAATGTGTTCGAAGAGAAAACGGGTTCAGGCCTGACTTAGGAGGCCTAAGTGAAGGCAAGACAAGTTTGGCTTCGCGAAGTGATAGAGACTCTAGGTGCAAGTGCCTCGATTTGGAATCGCAAACTCTCTTTCCGGAGGCGAAAGCAAATGAAGCAGATGTCAAGCCCGTCATGTCGCAAGATGGAGACGATGCATGTCGAGGAGGGTGTCAACTGCAAAGAGGTGGTGAGGCTGGATGGATGTCGTTGGGCCGTGAAGGGTCAAGCAGAAGAAGCTGATCTAGTTTCAGGGAAAGTGCAATGGACGATCTGTCTCGCGGGGCGCAGAGCGCGCAGAGCAAAGTCGCGCGATTCCCCAGTCGGAGCCGACGGATCCACACCGTCTGATAGAGGAGGTCAGGTATTGGCAACAGCCCATCTCCAACGGGAGGCGCGGGCGCAAGAGGGGCACAGGGTAGGAAGGGGGGGGGGGGGGTTTCATCCCGCCATGTCACCACTGCCGCATGGACCACGGCGCCGTCTCTCTGGAACTGCACGACACTGTGGGCGACGCTTTGTCTTAGGCCCCAGGAAGCACCCCCTTTTTTTAGCACAGTGCCCTCTTGCCCTCTCGCTCTTTCCTCGTCCTACCTTACTTTTGGTACCTTAAACCTGTGTGGTTGCCTCCCAGCTGCCTCCCCCAGATTGCCCAGAATTGCGCCCAGATCACCAACATGCGCCCCCAAGTTGCTTTCATGCAAGACCTGCTAGTAGCTTTCGCCAGGGTTGACCTTCACCTGTAGACCGCAGCTTCTGCGCAGCGCACCACTGAATCCGACTTACCTTGCCCTCAGATGGATGGCGCGGAAGGCATTTCGGCCCCGACGAAGACAGCCAAGACGTCCAGCGTCCAGCCAGATACCCATCTCGAATACATTTGTCGAACCCTCCGTCCAGCAACGCACCCGTGTGCCGGAAGCCATCGGCAACTACATCGTTTTCTCTCGCCGCATGGGGCGACGAACGTGGCTGTCCCAAAGCTTCCTCTTCTCGTGAGAAAGGGACAGCACTTCGTGTCGCAACTTCGTGTCGTGGCGTCAGGTCTCGTCCGGTCCTCATCTGCCCTGCCCCGGCTCGATGACTATTTCGACAGCACCGTTCCCGAACGAGACCGCCACACCTCAGGCCACTTGCTATTCTGTTCGGCTCGACCACATTGGATGGAAAATTGAGGGGGTGGAGAGGTCTCATGGGCGAGGTATTGCCTTGTACCCCGACACACGGCGGACAGACGCAGGACCACACGGCAAGAAATCCACCCCCCAGCTTTGTCCCCCCCTCCCTTACAATACCCTGGCCTAGCCTGGCTCCTCCGCCTCCGCTTCGAACAACCATCAAGACCCCAGGTGGCTGACCGGGGGTGCTCCTCCTGCGGTGTGGTGCGTCCGCCGACACCAGCGCCGACCACCAAGTGGCCGCCCAGACGGCCGCCTGTTCCTCGTCGACGGACTCGAGAATTTGGCTCACTGACAGGGCCCAAGTCCCTTAGCGCCTCTCGTGGCCGTTCCCCATGCCATCCATCACCAATTCCCCATCTCACCCACCCACCCCCCGGTCCCTTGTCCTCGTTCCCCTCCAAAAGTTCCCAAGTCCCCACCACTCCGCTTACGAGAACCGCACGAGAAAGGACCTCCGACCAGGGCTAACGGCGACTCGCGACCAGGCAACCTAGCGGGACCCCGGCCGTCTAATAGCAACCAGGCGGCCCTACCAGTACACTTAGAGACTAGAGACTGGGGCAACGAGCCGAGGAGCAAGATGTGAAGGTGACTAGACGGAGCTCTCTCCTTCACTTCTCCTTCAAGAAGACTGCCCTCCCCGTCACGCGCCTCCGCATTGTTTCCAACCGACGACTTGTCTTTCCATTCTCGTTTGGTGCCCACACCTCAAAAGACCGGTTCCCCACCACCACCCAAAGCCTAAGATCACTCTTCAGATTCTCTCACGACCGCCGTAGGATGCTGCCTCGATAACCGCAATCCGCCTCTCACTCAGTCACCTGTCGTTGTCGCTAGCAACTGGTGCACCGCCCGCCGCCCTCGCTGTTGTTTGCAGTGTGCTGAGCCCAACGGACTCCTGGTGCATTCGCCACATTGTGTTGCTCTCGTCGCAGAGCACGCGCCATCGTTGCCCACTACGTCGGCTCCCAAGCGCATTCGCCTGACCCAGGAAATGTCCCCGTCCTCGACGGGCGACTCTCCCCCATCTGCTTCGGGGGCAGTAGTGCGACCCTATCCCATGGCAAGCAGAGATAGCTTCCACATCGAAGTGCCTTCGCCCTCATTGACGGCTGTAAACGGCACACACCCGCTCAAGTCACCCTCGTCGCTCAAAAACCACCGCACGCCCAGCTTTAGCCGGGATGGTTTGATCAGTGCCGTGCAAAAGGCCAGAAACATGTCTCAATCATCCGACCAGCGCATCAACGGTTTCAGTGATATGAACAAAACACCCAGCGACGAGGGATCGAACCCACTGAAGCGCCGCAACACCGACGCCGGAGTTGACTACCCGCGAAGGAGGGCTACCATCGCTGTATGTGTGACGCTCCTGACTGAGCTGCCACGAATATTTTTTTTTTTTTTTTTTTTTTCGCTGACCATGTTTTCAGTGCGAGGTGTGTCGATCCCGCAAGTCTCGCTGCGATGGCACCAAGCCCAAGTGCAAGCTCTGCACCGAGCTCGGCGCCGAATGTATCTACCGAGAACCCGGCATCAAGCTGGATGCAGGCGACAAGCTCATTCTCGAACGCCTCAACCGCATCGAGAGCCTTCTTCAGATGAACATGGTCGCTGGCGGGCCTTCCGGCGGCGGCATCCAGATTAGCCACGAGTCACCATCTATGAGCAACGGCTCTGGACTGAATGGCGAAAACCTAGTCGGAGTTGCCGGGACCACCAACTTTACTTCCATCATCCCCAGCGGGGGTCTAGGCACCTGGCATAACCCGCCCAACATCTCTACGATGCCCAAAATTCACACGAATGCGGCTTTACACCTACTGCAGTGGCCTTTGATTCGTGATCTTGTATCACGACCATATGATCCGCAAATCCTGCTACAGCTTGAGATGGCGCGAGAGCCGCTGCACTCGCTGACGAAGACGCCTTGTGTCGACCTGTCCAATACCACAGCATACATTGAGGCCTATTTCGACCACGTCAACGTGTGGTACGCTTGCGTCAACCCTTACACCTGGAGGAGCCACTACCGGACGGCGCTATCCAACGGCTTTCGCGAGGGCGCCGAGAGCTGCATCGTCCTTCTTGTACTGGCTCTGGGACAGGCCAGCTTGCGAGGAAGCATCTCACGCATCATGCCTGGGGAAGACCCCCCTGGACTGCAATACTTCACCGCTGCATGGGCTCTCCTTCCGGGCATGATGACTTCAAATAATGTTCTCGCAGCACAGTGCCACTTGCTGGCTTCTGCGTACTTGTTCTACCTTGTCCGCCCCTTGGAGGCCTGGAACCTGCTTTGTACTACCAGCACGAAGCTGCAGCTTCTTCTCATGTCACCGAACAGGGTACCGCCCAATCAGCGGGAGTTGACCGAGCGTATTTACTGGAATTCTCTCCTCTTCGAGAGCGACCTGCTGGCAGAGCTGGATCTCCCGCACTCTGGGGTGGTCCAGTTTGAAGAGAACGTCGGACTTCCCGGTGGCTTCGAGGGAGAAGAACAGGAAGCGATTGGACGGGATGACCTTTGGTACTTCCTTGCCGAGATCGCCTTGCGGCGACTCCTGAATCGAGTCAGCCAGCTGATCTACTCCAAGGACTCGATGGCCTCTACGACAAGCCTCGAGCCTGTGGTGGCGGAACTCGACTTCCAGCTGACGCAATGGTACGAGAGCCTACCGATTCCACTGCAATTCCCTTTTACCCGCGCCGCACTTCAGGACCCGGTCCAGACTGTGTTGCGCCTCAGATTCTTTGCTTGCCGGACCATCATTTACAGGCCCTACATCTTGGCTGTCTTGGACAATGAGCAGGCCATCTTGGATCCTGCAGTACGAGACAGTTGCCACAAGTGCTTGGAGGCTTCTGTGCGCCAACTGGAACACATCTCTGCACAGTAAGTCATGATTGATCATCATTTTGCCACACCCTCAAGACTAATACGTTTGCCTCCAGCCATGCAGGCCACATGCCTTATTTGTGGCAGGGTGCGCTCTCCATTGTGTCCCAGGCACTGCTCGTCATGGGCGCCACCATGTCACCCTCGCTGGGCAGCATCCTTCTGACGCTATGCGGTAGCCGTGAGGCTATCGACCAGATCATCAATGACGTCGTTATGGAGGTCGAACGTTATTCAAACCTTGCGCCGAGTCTGAGCTTGGCGGCTGAGATCATCAAAGAAGCCGAAGTGAGGAGGCGAGCATTCCTCAGCGGGTGATGGAAACAGCCCCGGAAAGACCCGCTCGATACGACGTGCAGGCCCCTCTTGACGCCTGCGAGAACCACCTCGCCTATCGAAATCATGCGTCCGAAGGGAGCGCGGGCACTTCATTTACGAAAACCCCATCCAGCCCGTCGAGCGAATCTCCTTTCGGCGGAAATGCCACCTCAATACGTTTCTTACAGAGCCAGAGGCATCGTGTGTCCTGCCCTCTGCACCCCTAAAGCGCGCAGCAAAACATTGGCATCTACAACACCTGGCACAAGTACCGCACAACTGCAAGGTCATCCTTGATAGTGTGACGAAGTTCACGACGTCACAAAGAAGAAGATCGCATCCCAAATGCCTCGAACAACCCGTGGTCGTCCGAATCGAGAGGCAAGGCGTGCTGCACTCACTGCATCTTTGCGGGAAAGCTGGCGGGAACGTTCCCACGATCCGAGCCATATCAGCCCACGCACGGCCATCATCTGGGGTGCAGGCGCTGGGGTTGCACTGACCACTGTGTGTATGGACACCTGTCGGGCATTGCCTGCGCCAGCGCGGGTTGTGGTTGGCGGGTATCACCTGTGCTAGGGCGGCGTCCGGACCGACATGCCGCATCCCACCGCGCCTGACCCAATCAGTCCGAAGCCTATGACAACCTCCTCACGATAGCTGCGCCGCTGGACTTTCGGATGCAGAAAACCCCCCCCCTTCTTCTCAATCCTGAACATGTCAATCCATCGAATTCCGAAAAGAAATCGGGCTTGGTTGTGGACAGCACTGGGAATTGCGGCATCCTTTCTACGCCTGCACCAGCCAGCTTCGCTATATGGCATGTATGCGAGCCGCGCAGGTTGCTACCTCCTGCGTCATCACCGAGGCCTCTCACGAATGGGCGCATTGTCAATCTGCTGCGGAGACGTAATTGTTCTGATGCAACTGGTGTGTGGCAATTTGAGAGCACCGCTCCTACGAGCGATTTACTGAAGTGTGCCGCGCGAGCCCGTGGTACCTGACGAGACATATACCCCTGACGACATGACATATCCCTGGAGTTCCGGTCCCCAAGGCTGCAAGGAAGGAATCGGCGAGCCAACATGGGATTTTGCCAACGGCTGGTGACGAGGCTGGATGTACGCCACCGGTCGTCTCGAATGGCAACGCTACGTGTAGTTTCTCTACCTCTTGTACAATAGTTGACGCTGTAATGATCGACATTGGAAATTGCAACACGTTCCGTGAAGTGGCAACAGCCCATCGTGTTTGCGTTCACTGGAGTTCATGCGCTGAGTATTCTTCAAGGTGACCGACCTGTTTTCTTCGACACCAATGCCCCTGAGCAAGTGAGCGAAGGACGGGCGCCTGGCGCCACTTTTGGGGCATCCTCATCTCCCGCAGTGTGACCTGGGAGGGTTCCACTGCTGCCATCACACGCGGGAACATGCACGATTTGCGAGGCGGAGTGCACGGGCGGGAAAATCGGCTGAGCGCCGAGGTGACCTCACGCTGCGACAAGCGGCCGACTCTGTTCCCTCTCTTTCGTTACCTTCCCGGTCTCTTCTCATCGTATGTTTCCGAAGCGGACCCGGTTTCTGGTATAGTGGTCGGGTTGTGACTGTGCAATGTCTCTCCTCGGTCGAAAGGCACTTTTCGACCGTGCGACTGGACGGTGGACTTGAATCGAGCTCTCCATGCCGACGACCACTTACTTGCGACCTGAAGGAGAAGGTCGAGCAGGGGAAGGGGGGGCGGAGGAGCATGGGGTGGAAGTTTGCTGGCTGGCACGGAGGAAATTTGGAGTAGCTCTGGGGATTGGCGGGACTCTGGAACGCCTATGGGTTGCGGGGTAAAAACGCTCCTGTAAGGCGGAGGGACAGGACTTCATTTTGAGGGGGGATGTTCAGGGTCGGAGCCATTCTGGGCCATAGCTTCCGTTGGCTAGGGTCTTTCGTCGGGATCTCTGACGCCCAAGGGGGGGGGGTTTACTCTTCTGAAGGTCTAATTCCCGCTCATCAGAGTTAGAGGCCCATCATTTCAGACGAGGGGGAACCGATTGATTCAACCTCATGCAATGTCAACTTTGAGGTGATTTTGGAGCTGAAAAGATGAAGGAAAGGAAACGGGCGCGCATCGAGGATTGGCGGTCTTCCGCTCGCCTTGCGGCGCTGGGACGTATTGGCTGCCATCCATGCCCGTCAGCCTGACCTCCCCCTACCTACCTAGGTACCTTAGCTGACGCAGTGGTACGCGAACCGGGGCTTGCGTTCACCCGGCACTTGCGGCGGTGTTTGGTCAGGCAGACATACCAAGCACAGCGACAACCT